AAATATAACGACAAATTCGTTTTCGAAATGAAGGGCAACTTCTTAATTTTAGTATTGTTACAAACATCATTTCCAGTTTCCAAAACTTGTACTTGTTTCAGCTGACTCTAAAGAAATGGGGAACCGTATGGTCAACCGTTTACGCTCTCATTTTTTCTTAATGTTTCGATCAATATGTGAGGTCGCCTGTCTTTCAGTTTATCTGAAAATACTGTGAGTTGAAAGAAATTTTTGGGCGACACTGATATCAATGCATGGCAAAAATAATGTCACGCAATGATGAATATTTTGTAAATGTAAGAATTAAATCTACAGTTGCAGAGATCTATCCTACATCATCAAAATAAAAAAACTATACTTCTTAATAACATATATTTATGTACAATAATAATGATTAAGATTATATAAGTATTTGATACTAAATAACATTAATTAATATAAAAGACCATATGAATAACTGCCAATTGCGGTTATAAATTTTGTTTTGGAACGTAACATTATTATCAATTTTACGGAAAACACAAATGGGCATTATTGTTGTTTCTGAAAATAAATTTATATTAGAAGCAATAAATTAAGCACGCTTGATAGTATAATCCTCTTAATTTACACAAATTGCGTTCGTTGCCATATTCAAGGTTTAAAATAAAATTATAGACTTGCTTTTAAAAGTATGTCGTCATTTGTATAAAACAAACTACAGTTAAATAAATGCTAAAGGTCAAAATTGCAATGTTAATAATCAAAATGTTTTCAAAGGGAAAATTTTAAGAAATAAAAAGACAGTTAAGGAGTTATTTTGTAATTCACTAGTAACTTCTTGCCCAGAGAACATAACCATTTCAGAGATTCAACTATTGGGAAAAATATTTTTTTGAATATTAACAATACTATTTACAATATTTGTTCCTTTATTATTATTATTATATTATTATAATATGGTCTGTATTCATTATTATGAACTATATTAAATGTAATTAATTTAAAATAAAAAAAACAGTTATTCCAGTTTTGAGTTTTCAGTTCTGTCGGCAAATCCCATGAATGGTAAAAAAAAATTATTATATTGATTTTACTCAAATCAGGATCTCAAATATCTTCGGTTTTATTTCATTAAATCGGCATTTAATTAATAATCGAAATAAAAATTTTGTTGGTTTCCACTAATCTAAACTACTTTAAATATTTTTAAAATAAAAAATAAACATTTATGAACAAGAATACGTATAAAATAAGAATAAAACACCAAAGGTAACCTCCTAAAATAGTATAAATAAATTTTATTAGCTACAAATGAAAGTGTTATTATTAGAGCTAACGGGTACTAGAAGACATTTTTATAGAATAATTAATTTAAGATTATGCAGTTTTTTGAATACTTATGTGGGTGTTTTGACTGGGACTTAAAATATTCAGAGCGCAGACTTCTAAGTCTGAGAGATATAGAAGAGAAATGGAATAAGTACGTGATGGGACTTTATTTTATTCTTGTTACTTTACAATTTATTATTTATGTAATTTATTTGTTATTTCGTGTTTTTAAAGTTAACTTTTAACTAACTTTAGTTAACTTGAAGTTTTAAATCGTGGACTGTGACAATGTTATGAACATTATCACGATTGTTTGGTATATCACTACATAGTATAAAACAAAGTCGTCCCGCTGTCTGTCTGACCCTACGTTAGCTTAGATCTTTAAAACTACGCAACGGATCTTGATGTGTTTCTTTTACTAGATAGAGTGATTCAAGAGGAAGGTTTATATGTATAATACATTGAACCCGTGCGAATCCGGGGCGGGTCGCTATTTTTAACATATTTCATAAACATTGTCATTAGACCTCAGATAGTTATATTTATATATTCCTAACAATATCGGTTGTAATAACAAAAATTTTAAGTTATTGTAATAAACTTTTCCAGCGCTAAAATAACCCAACATAGTCTTCTATAGTTCATTAATATCCATTGAGAATTTGCTTTCCGTTCCCGTGCAACATTAAGGTGAACATAAATTAAATGATGTTCAGGTTATTGATTTATAAGTGAAGCTCCGCAGAAGCCTGCGCAGGGTTACTGTGTAACATTTTCAGTATTAATGAAATTACCTCAAAGACTACCTACACTCCATTCAGAAGCAGAACATAATTATTGTAAAGAAAATCAGCGGTGAAACCTTGCATGATCTCTAAAAATTATTGAACTGATCGGAAAATATACATAATATCCTTTCGAAAATCTCAATGTAGCTTATTAATACTTAATATCATCATTCATAGACCTCCCCCACAGACTGCCACGAAGCACGATCCTGAGCCACCAGCATCAACACATTTGCACAGGTCGTCACTCTATCTAGTGGGGGTCGTCCCACACTGTGATGGCCAGTACGAGGCTGCTACTCGAGGACCTTTCTTCCCCAATGGTTATCGGTTCTACAAGCTATATGCCCGGCCCATCGCCACTTCAGCTTAGTAACCTTTTGAGCTATGTTAGTGATCTTTGTTCTACTGCGGATGTCTTCGTTGGCAACTCTATCACACAGAGCAATAACGAGCATAGCCCGCTCCATAGCTCGCTGAGCGACTTTGAGCTTCCTCATACGGCCAGCAGTGAAGGACCAGATCTCAGTTCCGTATGTCATTCAATTCAAAAATTATGATATTAAGGCTAAACATATTATAAAAAGATAAAATATGTAATTTAAGAAGTAGAACTTTAATGGCGGAAATATGTTTAAAAATAAATTTAGGCAACATTTTACTTACTTAACCTCGAGTGCACTGAATATAAAGAAAGTGAAATACCTACCTAATATTTTTATTATTCATTTCCTCAGTATACTATTTTAAGGGAATGTTGCGTTCGTATGGGAATTTAAATAAATTAAATTTAAGCGTTAAATAAAACAACTTAATTTTCTTATTATGAAATTGTGTAAAAAGTGGAAAATTAATTCATAGTAGGTATATTTAATGATCTAGAACGAGGTAAACAAAATACACTCACATGTTATCTTTTATCTGTGTACCTTAGTACACAGATAAAAGATAACATTACTTTCGTGGATGAGGGTACACAACCGTAAGCGGTTATGTACCTTCATCCACGAAAGTAAATATTATATCAAGAATGCTACTACAACGTTAATTTTCATGTTAAACGTAACTTACATCGTTATTCAATTCAATGAATTCCGTCCATGACATTTTATGTTCGGGCATTCATCGTTTCAATATTACTTTAGGTAACAATCCACACCTTGCTTTTAGTAAAAAGATTTTATTGTTGATTTTGTCGTGTAAAATTTACTCACTTTCAACAACTTAACCGACTAAATATTTTACATTGGCTGTTAAGAAATATATAAAATGGAACCAAGTGTGAAAAGATACTTTCACTTAAAAACATAATATCTAATTCTATTCAAAGTATTCAAAACAAGATATTTTATGTTAATCTTTGCGGAGTTTAGGCCCTTATGTAATGACCTGACAATAGCAAAGTATTTCTTTTTTATTTCATGCATTTCTAATAATAAAAGGTTGAAAAACATCACGTACAAGAGTAGGTAAATTTATTTAGTGACTTTCAACATGGGTTAAATCTAAAACATTCTATCATACAACTATTTTTACGGATTTATCGTTATTATTTTTAGTTCCCGACGTTTCGGTACCCTTTTCAGCGTAAATGATCAAGGGAAAGACTGAGACGTTGTACGAGGTACATACGTAGATGAGACTGACAATTTTACTTTTATTACTTAGATTTTTTGGTCGTCCGCAATCCAATAGAGATTCCGATTATATATATATATATATATACAAGAATTGCTCGATTAAAGGTATTAGATGCGATCCCTTTTCTCGCACAGCTGTCCCTTTGTCCCCGAACAAATCCTCGGGACGCAAAATTGACCCGTTATCCGAAACCGCGTGAAATTTTAAAACCACGCTCGTCAGACGTGATCATGAGCAGCGCGGAACCGTAATCGGTTATTCCCGGTTATTCCCCGCATGTTTTACTTTCAATATGTTCATCAATCTTGTCATGTGTTTATTTCAATAGGCTAATCCATGCGCATGTATTCTGACTTCTTTATGTTTTGGTATCATGTTCGTTAAATAGTTTTGTAGATAATTTGAAGTTTTTGATGGTTTGGTTTTGGTTTGGAAACCCAAATGTTAATTTAATGTCAACATACAAACAAAATACCCATTTATTAAGCAATTTAACACTCGTGGTGCTGGTGATATTGAACAGCTCCAGTTTTGAAGGCAATGCTGATAACAAAGGTAACATACAACGTAAAAAAAACCTGCCAAATTTTATTCTTCTTTAAAATCGTCACCCTCTTTATTAAAACAAATTTGTTCCTCTGACAAATATAAATATATTTAAAACATACCAATGTTGTTTTAATATATAATGTTGTTCAATATAAAATAGTGAACTGATGATTTTTTCTTTGTATTTAATAATTTTTAATCTTTTCGGAATAAAGGAAATTAAAAAGTTATGTTTATTTTCATCGTAAACCAATGTCCCGTTTTGAGTTAAAAAAAAAGTGGTCAGTTTAGATTAGGATCGTGATGACAGTTCACGATTCGCATAATTGAATCTTAGGCAGAGGTCCAGATGATAATACAGCATAGAATATTATCTATTAAGTAATATGTTTAGTAAAATGAAATTAATACATAAGTACCGGTTCTGTTAAATCATTAAAATTTTACATAATAATTATGCATAAGACAGGATTAAATTCAAATATTTGATTGACCAATACGGAATCAAATAACACTACTGCGTCGTGTTGTGATATGGGTTATATTTACATTTAGATAAGAGATTTTGTACAGTCTTGTCATCTTTTTATTTATGCTATAATGTTTAAGTGGCGACATTTTTTAATAACGTCTGCAAAGAATAGTGGCCGTGTTTCAGTAAATATTATCGATAATTATCCAAAAAGGGAAATTAATACTTGTGTCGTTATGGCTGAAAAGTTTCGATTACCTGCTAGATATGGAGCCGGTGAAAAAAGCGTATGGTAAGTTTCAACTAGGTAAAGATATTTCTTCAGAATATTTGTTAAGCCATCTCTTATTTCTATAGCAATGATAATTTCATTAACCATAGAATAATCAGGATTATTTTGGTAAAATTACATAACATTTATTTGAAAATATATAACTACAACTTTTAAAAAACACAGAAATATAAACGGTTAAAAGGTACGATTATCATTAAAAGACAAATGATAACACCATATTAATAATGAAATTAATCCTTAATAGACCAATAGAGCTAAAAATTTAATAAAAGTTAAGAAGATAAAATATTAATAATCAATGTATGATTATTAATATTTTAACATCATTTTTATTATTCGTCAAGGGTAGAATTTCTCAAATGAAAAGTAAAGTTAAGAATTTAAGAAAAATATGTTAAATCATTTTTACAAATAAGACATTGTTCTAATTCAAAATTAATAACTTTTTCCACATTCAGTTCAAATTATTAATGGATATAAAAATATAGACCAACCTTATTTCATAGATATTACAATTATTACATTTTCTCATATCTTGTGTAAATTAGAATAATATGATTTATCATATTATTATATTTTGTTGTTGTTGTTGTTGTTTAAATATGACATGAAACGCTTAAATATGAGATGAAATGAATTCAGTTATAACCTGATTAAAAAATCTATAATCTGGCTATTAAAATATAGGTCAGTCCGAGTAAAGTCAACATATATTTTTTATCAGAATATTTATTATAAGTTTATTATAAATGTGGCCTTTAGTATATAAAGAAAGTAAATTAAAGACAGAAATAAATTGTAGCTAAACCATCTTTGTGATGTACTACCAGCCTAGTATTTAAAAGTGATATGTCTCCAACAGGGTTGAATATATACAGTTGGCAGCTGATTACAAACCAGCAGTCAACCTGGGTCAGGGATTTCCAGATTACCATGCCCCCAAACATGTAACAAAGGCTTTAGCTGACATTGCCCTGGGGGATAATCCCTTGCTCATGCAGTACACTAGAGGCTTTGTGAGTAATCAATTATTTTAAAATCAATTCAATTTATATCTTTTCTACTTTAGTTTTTTATTGAATTACCTTTGTTTCATAAACACTGACAAATTGAAGAATTCAAATATTTTAAAAATTATCTAGCTGTAGCTGCTAGCAGTTTATCAAGTTAATCTAGCTAGATTTTGAGTTTTGCAGTCACTGAAGATAATTCTTTATATATAAAGATAAAGAAAAAAATTGTCAGTGGAATGCTCTGAAAATATTTGATTTATATGGTTTCTTTTCCTGCTTTCTTATATATTCTTTTTTTTTTGCCGATGTTGACAATTTGTTATAAATATTTTTTATATATTTACAATCAACATTTTGTATCATACAAAATGTATTTCTTTCTTACAGGGGCATCCAAGACTGGTACAGAATTTGTCAAAAGTATATTCACCATTAATTGGTAGACAATTGGACCCATTCAATGAAATTTTGGTGACTAGTGGTGCTTATGAAGCTCTTTACTCTGCAATATTAGGTGAGTTATACTTATCAAGACTACATACTGATATCCTTTCTATCAAGACTAAACAGATACTGGACTTTTCTTAATTATACTTCTTCCAGGTCATGTGGATACTGGAGATGAGGTTATTGTTATAGAACCATTTTTTGATTGCTATGATTTCATGATAAAATGTGCTGGTGGTGTGCCAAAGTTCATAGCACTAAAACCTGTAAGTATTTATTATACTTAGGATTAAATTGCCACCACTGAAATGTTACTCACCAAATGAAGCATCACTTAAAGTAACAATGTTAAGCCATGTTCTCTTTGTAATGACCTTTGGGTTATAAACATCATTTACGGAATCAGTTATCAGTCATTGAATATATGAAAACATGTTATCATATGGAACTATTGAACCCTGATCATCTTAATTATGACCAATTTAGATAAAGAGCACTTTATAATTCACCATACCATATTTGAAATTTTTTGACAAAAAAGTATTTTGATGTAAGCCCATAGATAAATTAAAATTTCCATGTTGTTGACTATGAACTCATAGATCCCGCTTCATTATCTGTCGTACCCCACAGAAAACGATAAAAGAGAACATGACTTCAGCGGACTGGGTACTCGACGAGGCGGAACTCGCGTCACTGTTTACTAATCGCACCAAGATGCTGATACTGAACACTCCGCACAATCCCCTGGGCAAAGTGTTCACACATGAAGAGTTGGAGATCATCGCTGACCTGTGCAAGAAGCACGATGTGCTGTGCATCTCCGACGAGGTCTATGAGTGGATGGTCTACGAGCCCCATAAGCATATTAGGATAGGTGACAAAGACTTTGTTCAACCCTTTGACAGTCTCCAAAGTAAAAAGTCAAATCAATCCATGTTAAAACAAGTAAATTTTTTTACTAATGAAAAACAAAACCAACTTCAAATATCTTTTTTTTTATGCGAAAAGTTGTGAAACGAGCAGACGGTTCACCTGATGTTAAGTGAATACCGCCGCCCATGGACAACTGCCACACCCGAGGGTTACAGATGCGTTGACAACCTTTTGAAAATTGGGCTCCGGCTACCTCACTCACCAGACGAAACGCGAAAGTATTTGTCATACTTCCACTTTAAGCTGGTCTTCTGTGAGGTCGCGGTACTTACCCGGACGGGCCTGCCCATTCGTGCAACAGCCGAGGCTGCTGCGTAGCCCTACCACCGTCAAAATATATATCTCACTCTATATCCATTTTATAATTGATTTTCAGGAGTTCCTTAAGTATCTCCGGAGCCCAAGATCCAATACCAATGAAATTAATATGGGACCACATGAGAAGCACCAGCTTTCAAATAAAAAAATAATCAACAAAATGGGTTCAGAAATTTAAATTGTTTATAGTGCTAATCTTTGCACTTAAGATTGAACATTAAAATATTTTAATGTTCAATCTTATCATCATCTCTCGTTCGAATTATCGTTGTAAAACGATATTCGAAGTTGTTTGTATGCTGGAAAGGATTAACAATAGATGGCGCCAAGCATTGCTTCAAATGCTAAGAAAACAATGTGGAAGAATGCGTTAAGATTTTCGTCGGTAGAATCAGCCGTTTAGCTCAGTGGCTAGAGCGTCAGGCCGCGAATGCCGAAGACGTGGGTTCGATTCCCACAGCGGCGACAATCTTTTCGCACTTTTTCTACATATTTTAAAATGGGTTCACTTAGTCAAAAGTTCTGAGGTAACAAACACCTAAAAAAAATACAGTCAAATTGAGAACCTCCACCGTTTTTGTAGTCTGTTGAAAAAACCAAGGAAAAGTTTTTGACAGTATTTTTATTTGGTTACATTATACTTATTTAGACCGTGAGGAATTGGCAGGAAAATGCGGTTCGGTAGATAGTGGCAAACAAGCTAGCAGTTCACCTGATGCTAAGTGATAACCTCCTGCCCATGGACGTTTGCGACACCCATAGGGTTGCAGATGCGTTGCCACCTCTTAATAATGTGGGCCCTGGTTACCTCATTCACCAGTCTTCTGTGCGGTCGTCTAACTAACACGGACGATTCTGCCCATTCTTATAACAGCGAACGCTATTGGCTGGCCCTACCACCGTTCTTTGTATACGACTCTCTTAAATTCTTTTTGTAGATAAAAAAACAAAAATTTTCAGTGTTTCGAATTCGATCCTGCGTCTTATGGTTACGCGCAGACGCTTTACCAACTGAGCTAAGCGGCCGGTGACCTAAGGACGCGAAAATCTTGGCATCCACCTACGTCGTTCTATTGCATTGTTATCAAAAACACTTTCTTCACCCCAGCTACTTTACCTGGCATGTGGGAGAGGACCATAACGATCGGCTCCGCCGGGAAGACCTTCTCGGTTACCGGCTGGAAGATCGGCTGGGCCTACTGCCCCCCCAACCTGATGAGGAACCTCCAGGTCGTTCACCAGAACTGTGTTTACACCTGCCCCACGCCGACGCAGGTCTGTACTGGATACTGTTGTTCCGATATTTATTTATTTATTTATACAAACATAAGAAGCATTAACAGCAAAAATGTCACAAAATTTGTTGTACAAAGAGCTGCCTTATCGCTAATAATAAAAATAGCGGTTTCTTCCAAGCAAACTTTCTTAAAGGAGATTTAAAAACAAATGAAAAATACCCCGGGAGTGTGTAGACATGAATACGGACAATTAGATAACAATTATACATAATAAATATATGCATAAAATTAAAATACTCAAACATAATTATACACATCGTTTTCGCGATGTTTTTCTCACCGTTACATTCAATTTACTATTAGTGGTTAACATTAATGCAATTTTATTATCATTTCTTCTTGTGTAGTAATTTCTTACTTTTACATAGTTACTTTCAATCGCTGTGAATTTATCCCATTGCGATTCGATATCCCCTGTCATTCGATATATATACAGCGAAGAAGCGAGCAGTTGGTTCACATGATGTTAAGTATACCGTCTCAGGGATATCTACAACACCAGGACTTGCAGATGCGTTGTCATCCTTAAAAAAGTTGGCCCCGGTTACCTCATTCACCAGACGAAACGCGAAAGTGTAAGACTTTCATTACACCGGTCTTCTGTGAGGCCGTGGTACTTCCCCGGACGCGCCTGCCCATTCTTGCAACAGCGGAATCTATTGCGTACCCCTACCACAGTTACACAGAAGACCGGCGTGAAGTAGAAGTGTTACACTTCTGCATTCCCTCTGTCGAGTGAGCCGGGGCCCACTTGGTTGGGCCCACGGGGTGTTGCAAATATCCTTGCGCGGCGGTTATTACTTAACATCAGGTGGACCGCCAGCTCGTTTGCCAGTTTGTCACATAAAAAAAAAGTTGGAAGTGCCGACTTCAGCGCTAGCATTTCTCTGTACACAGGAGGCGGTGGCGCGGTCCTTCGAAGTGGAGATGGCTCGCATCGGGACGCCAGAGTGCTACTTCACTTCGCTGGCGCTCGAGCTGCTGCCGAAGAGGGACTTCTTGGTGAGGACCCTGAGGGAGAACGGGTTCAACCCCACCGTTCCAGACGGCGGTTACTTCGTGGTCGCCGATTGGACCAAACTAGGTGAGATTCTTTGAGACCGCCTATCAGTCGCAAGGGGGCGTTCGAATATTACGAAAGTAAACTTTGTGATTTTAGAACCCCCCTGTGTAGGCGAAAATAAAAAATTGCGAAATCTTTCGTCGTAGAATTTTTTTTCATTACTCTTAATAAATATCGAAATATAATAAACTTTTTATTTTACTAAAATCCTATGCCACCATGATGGAATTAGATTTAACGAAAACTTAAGCTTTTCTTTCTTCCTCAACAACATTCCCGCAAAATTTTACAAAAATGTCCCCCAAAGCTACATATTAGTGAAACTATTATGGAGTATTTAAAAAATATGCAGCGTTGAAAAACGCAGACGTTATTTTTACACCTTTGCACTTTTCGCACGCGACAGGCAATAAAATCGATCTGTCGTCGGAGAACGACAAATACAAGGACTACCGCTTCACCAAGAAGTTCGCCAAGGAGGCGGGTGTGCTCGCAATACCACCCAGCGCCTTCTACTCAGAGGGGCACAAGAGTCTTGGCGAGAACTTCGCGCGGTTCTGCTTTATTAAGGTAAAAGATCTATATTATTAAAATAACTATATTTTTTGTACCCAACTTGAGAGATCAGGGCATTTTTTATACATATGTATCATGTTTCAGTTAATATGGATAGTCTACTTACAAAATTATGTATACTATTTTCAAACAATCTGTTTAAAATGCTCCGATGAAGTAATGCATTGAAAGTTTGAAACTTTGAATAGGTAAATAAGTAATTTTTTGTTAGGAAAATATAGGACAGATTTATTTATAACGTCAATTCTCTAATAAATATTGTGATTTCAAATAAATGAAATTGCAAATACCAAATTCAGATATTGTTTGTATTGTAACTCTGTACACCTCGAATTCTTACTTTAATGTAATATCCTTCTTTAATAATGAACGATTTGATCAATCCTATAATCTATTAGATTAACCCTTGTATAAAAAATCTTTTCCTTTACATCTCTTTGTGAAAATTCGAATGCTGTACACATTATTCGGCTACAGAGTTCCCCAAACTTTTTTGTGTTGTAGACCCCTTGCCATGTTTTTCCGTGTTGGGTAGACTTAGTTTTACTTTAAGTTATTTAACACATGTTAATTTATACATTTATTAATTGAATTTAACTAAAATAAACTACTCAAAATAAAATTTTGTATCTGTTATGTAAAATATACGTAACATTAAATAAACATAAAATAAACTATAAATAAGATAACATAAGCAATAAGTATGATGTAAGTAAATAGGTACTATCAGTGTATGTGTTGAGATCCACTATAGTCGACCCCCATTTTCATTTCATGGACCCCCAAATTTTTTTTCGGTGACGTAGACCCCTTGCAGGTTGTCATAGACCCCTAGGGGTCGATATAGACCACTTTGGGAATCTCTGGGCTACAACATGCTACGTTTTGTAGTGACGAATCTACGTTATGATAATTTAGTTATGATAGTTTATATGATCATATTTTTGTTTCACAGAAAGACGAGAATCTCGCCTTAACCGAAAAATTACTCAGGGAGTGGAACGCGAAGAAATAATCAGCCCACCTGATGTACTCATAAGTAATATTGTGATATATTTTTTACTAAAAATTATAATGTATGGTTATTAAAATTGGGAAAATAATATTTATAATACCTTTTAAATTGTACATTTTTATAGATAAATGCACAAAAACTTTCTGCGTGTGGGATTCGAACCTGCATCTTGTGGTTTCAAGCGGCCGATGACCTCACGACGCAAAAATCTTGACATCCATCTACATTCCCGCAGCACCGAAAGTTTTTGTTCATTTATCTACAAATATTTACAATTTAAAAGTTTCATCTTGAGTGCCGAGACTTGCACCAAAAATAAAGAATAATCCTAAAAAAGTTAATATTATTTTTCTTGCCCTTATCCCACCTAGGTGGGGTCGGAACACCGCGTTGCTCATGTTGTTAATGGGTTTATCTAGAGTTATAGGGTTACGGATCTAAAGAGATCCAATCGCTTAGCAATTATGCCACCAAGTCACTACTATTTAATTATGTTGACATAAAGTATTGAATCATTGACGTTAAAATTTAAGTGAAAAAAAGTAAAGTAGCAGCTTATAAATGTCCCATTGCTGGCATAGGCATAGTCCACCACTATTGAATCATAAAAAGAGAAAATAAAACAAGGCGTATCGATAAAGTAAAGAGGTATATTGTAAAGTGTACAAATCAAAAACAAAATACATCTTTATGTACCTGTGATAATGAATTTTAAGTGTAAACCAAAAATTTACAACACTTAAGATGTGAAATCACCGCGTAGCCACCTTTTAGCGTCGCGCGTGTCATTGCCGTATGTTTTGCCGAACCTGGTCAATAAATAACGACGCGTCAAATTTTTAAACCAAATAAATATGCAGTTTTCAAACATTATAACTAAAATTTAAAAAGAACTAAATGTACAAATAATATAATAATTAATCATCAATGTACGTAATTTAACGAGTAGAACAAACATCACCTGAATATACAGCCAGGCACGTGACCCGCATAGTTCGGTAACATGCCTACGTGTTTGTGATAGAGCTCTGTCGGATTGATGGATAGGGGAGGATCAGGTCTGGAAAGGAAATGCTGTAATCAGGACACCATGTATTTTCCCAAATACAAATAATTCTTTTAAATGCCTAATGACAGAATAAAAATACAGTGAGTTAAAGTTGAAGATACAAATGGCAGCATTCTTCACCGAGCTTAATAAACTATGAAAATAAAAGAGATAACTTCTAGCATGAAACATTTTTATTTCGCATCCCCTCCTATCACGCAATCATCTTGACCATGTACGGCCCCTCGAGGTGGTAGCCGATCTTCGCGTAGTAATTCCTGGTTCCCACTCCCGAGATGACCGCCATTTTGTCAGAGCCGTGCTCCTCGCGGGCGATCCTCTCGGCCTCCTCCATCAGCAGCATACCGAAGCCCTGGTGCTGGAATTTTGTGGGATCGCGCGCGTTCACCTGAAAATTTTCGAAAGCCACGACAATGTATAAAGGAGAAATGCTGTATAAATGATAAACAAACCACTTATTGATTTCTTGTTTTTACGCGAATATTATACATTGTTAAACGTCTGTCCCGTAACCCTGAACGCTGAGTAGAGTTCGAGACGTCGGGAATTAAAAATCTATAAAATCCTTAAAAAAAAATAGTTTCATTGAACAATATACCATTTTACTACCAAATGATCTACAGCCAAATGCGGCATTTTAGACAATTAATATACCATATACAGCATATTTGAGCATTAATTGTAGGCAGCTGAAAATTCGAACAAAACCATTTGACAGTTATCTACATAAAAATTTAGCATATTGAATTATAATATAGTAGACAGCACTTCAAAGGAGCCTGGGCAAACTGCTTTTTTGTTACAACATACAATACTTGGCAAGGTTGTTAAAGTGGTATTAAAGTTTGTAGAAAAAGTACGAAAAGATTGTCGCCGCTGTGGGAATCGAACCCACGTCTTCGGCATTCGCGGCGTGACGCTTTAGCCACTAAGCTAAACGTCTGATTGCCACACCGACGATAATCTTAACGTCTTTTATCTACATTGTTTTTTAGCATTTGAAACAATCCTTCCAGCATCCATTGTTACATTTGTAGCATAGCATACAATTTCGAATAGGTATCGTTCGAAAAAAAATTCTAAAGTGAGATATAATAAAAAAACCTTTAATTTCAATTAAAATTCTGCAATGAGGTGTTTAATGAACTTTGATTATTAGTATCTTCAACCGAATTTTGAGGAAATCAAAAATGTCGTACCGGCACAACAGATCCATAGACATGAAGCTCTCTCACAATGCTGCACTGTTTAAAGTTGGCGTTGGGGCCCGGTTTTAGCTCGGGACGGTAAGTGTCTTTTGCGCACTTCCTCAATCTTAGCAGACCAACAAGGATGTCTTGGTCCGGATCTTCGTACGACAGGAAAGTCTCCCAACCGCCATTAGCCACATAGTCACGTCTTATTAATTCTATCTGAAATAGATACAACATTAATAAAATATAGTGCTTATATAATATGAATAATTTCAAAATATTTTAGTTGAGAGCTTAGTGGGAGAACATATCAATTTCGATCACGGAATAGACTTCTTCAGGGTTTGCATGCCAATTACAGTAAATTCATTTCAGTTAATAGAAAACTATAGAGGTAATAAAATATATTAAATATTTATTACACAGCTGTAGCAAAACTTCAAAGAATGAATGTATGATTTGTATAAAAATGACCAATTTCCATTTACTACTCCACAACTCACCTGATAAGGTCTCACTTTATTGTGAATCTCTTGAATACCCACTTCTCTAGTGCGGACATCCCTACAATCTGTGCCCAAGTCAGCCATTCGGGCCAAAGCTAACTCCCTCAGATTGCCATGTTCTACTCCCGATGAAACTAAAGGCATTGGTATATCACGCTGCACTCTGTAAAAAAATTATAATTGTTATACTTTATGCAGACCACACAATCAGCACTACCCAAACAGATCTTTCGCCTGACGAAGCACATCATGAAAGGCCTCAATCAGCTAAAACACTACTGGTACACTCTTATTCGATGTCACAAAGGCTTTTGACAAGGTCAGTACAATTAGACTTTCTGTTGACAGGCATACAATTAGACTTTCTGTTGAATCGCTATTTCCGATTCGAGTTGAGGGCACTTTCTCTACATGCCACTCCTTCATTTTTTATGTGAGAAGATGGAAAACGAGCTAGCGGTTCACTTGATTTTAAATAATAACCGCCGCCTATGGTTGTTTGCAACACCCATAGAGTTGCCCTGGGCCCCCGGCTACCTCACTCACCAGACGAAACGCAGATGTATAATACGCCGGTATTCTATGAGATTGTGATACTTACACTGATGGACCTACCCATTGTGCCACAGCGAAGACTGTTGCGTGGCCCTACTAATGTGTGTTACCCACACTATGTAAAAAATACATAGTGTGGGTAACACACATTACCATATTGTAACACACATAACCAATATATTCATCTTTGCCTATGAGCCCGGCGATACCAAACAACGCTTACACATGGTAAACCTACATTCCATGACAGTTCTTAACCCTCCCAGCCTCTGATAATACAGTCAACAATCTTCCGGGGTGATGGTCCATACCAAACCTTGATGGCACATAGCCAACTTCCACTCTATTGTACACCATGAAAATCTCATATTCATTTTAGATAATATAATATTAGTTTACCTGTACACTCTTGTCCATGGTGGTACAAGAGCCAAGATTTTTGCAATTAAATCAACCAATGTTGATGGTGGGTAGCTTCTGTATCTGCCAGTCTTCCATAACTCATACAGTCCCGTGCCTCTTATAACTAAAGTTGGGTAGATTTTTAAACCATCAGCCCTAAATGCAGGGTTTTCAAAAAATTCCATGAACTGTTCAACATCCCGCTCAAAATCAACATTTGGGAGATCTGGCATCATGTGGGCAACAATCTGTTATAAAATATATTTTGAAATTATTCATATTATATAAGCACTATATTTTATTAATGTTGTTAGTATTGTTGTAGTTATTTATTTTCGTTTTTATAAAGATTGTAACTCATTTATATAAGTATCACATGATTTATGGTAGTAATTAAAACAAAAAGAGACACTATAAATAATGATAAACATAATATAAAAAAGAGAACTCAAAATGTATTCTATAAAAGAAATTTACCTTAAATCCAGCATCTTTAGCCAAATTAAAGTTTTCACACACCGCTTTAACAGTATGACCTCTGTTTGTGTCACGGGCGATATCCTCATAGACTGATTGTACACCAATTTCTAATCTGAAAGCGTTGAGTTCCAGTATTATAACAAAGAATCTTTTTATTGATTATTTCATGGGAAATAAATATATGGATAAATACCTTGTGCATCCATAATTGAGCATATCACTCATGTGTCTCTGTAGGCAGTAGTCTGGTCTTGTCTCAATTGTGATACCTATACACTTCGTCTTTGCTCTCTCTGAGTATTTTACGGCTTCCGCTACACAACTTGATGTATGACCAGATAAAGCATCATGGAGATTTCTATAACATTAACAAACAATTGCAAAGGATGCAATAGATTAGGTAAAACATGTTACTATGAAATAAAAATATGCAGTAAGTACTAAATAACAATACTATAAAAAGATTTAATAATTGAAGAAACCAAATTTCTCACGTACCTTATAAAGTAGTCTCTATAATCCTCAGGAAGACTCATAAATGTGCCCCCCATGACAATAAATTCTACCTTATCAACACTATGCCCCAGCTGTTTTAACTGTTCCACTCTATGACGTGTTTGCAAGTACGGATTGTATCTCGCCCTTATTGCTCTCATGGAAGTAGGCTCATAACCGGTGTAACTTTGAGTGGAGTACTCGAAATCAGAGTCAGGTCCACCGGGACAATATACGCAGATATTCCCGGTGAAGTTTATATGCGGACACCTGTGAGGCTTACACATCACGGCCACCACCGCTATTCCAGATGCTGTACGAATCGGTTTCGCCTTCAGCTTGGGCAGAAGTATGTTTTTAGCATCTGCCGGCACAGCAGCAATAATGTCCACAAGTCTCGGTGAAGTGCCAAGGCCATATTTGGACGAAATCCTCGTCTTCATCTTATTCAGATTAACATCTTTCCCTTGTCGGTGTGCAACAAGTAATTCTTGGATTATTTCAGATATCACCATCACCATTTTCTCCTCCTTGGACAGATTCGGGAGAGGTTTCTTCTTCGTCATTTTTTTAAATTAAAGTTTTGTAATAGTAATAAATGTGTTTAATTTTTATTTCTATCAAATTTGACACGACCGTAAATTGACATGACATTTAACGTAATCTGAGATTACTGATTATTTGGGCAAAAGTTATTAGCCGCAGCTTTAAATAAAAAAAATAAACATTTTATATTAATACACATTTTATATTATTTTTCTTTTCGATTTTTATAATATATTTTTCAATAGAAAAGGTTTAAAGCTTATCTTATCTTATCTGAAGACAATCCAAAAGGAAAATATAATTTTCGTGTTAATACTATTATAAAAAAAATATAAACCATTGATATTGATTTAACGCTGATATTCTCTGAAGAAAATCAGTTAAAAGCAAATAAATCAATGCATAAAATTTTAAGAATATTATTTTTTTAAGAGTCTCTCATGTATAATTTATAATGAAGGGAGAATAATTTTTACTTACTTGACAACATTGACAGGTGCCCACTCAGTACTCTGTCTTCTTCTATAGTTAGAAGAGAAGTCGCAGAGAGCTGAATTCGTGAGTTTTTTCGATGACTCTCCAAATCTTTGAAAACCATATGGCACATGTCCAGTAAAGCCTATAACAATAATGCCAATATTATAAAACAAAGAATAGAACGATCTTTAACAAAATATATTAATTAAATAAAAAACTCATAGATTTAGCTGACGCAGCATGTTGACGAGGATGCTACCACACGTGAACGCTAGAAAGTTATAGTTAACTAATCAAATAATAACCGGCCTAGACTAGTCAACCAGTCTAAGCAATATTTAAAATATATGATTCACTCAAAAAATTAGTATATATTAAGGAACTATGCTAGTGACACAAACCATAGTCTTCACAAAGAGACCTTTAGTTTGTGCCATTCGCTAATTTCGGCTCTAATACCACCCGTTTTTAATTCAATTAAGCCCTGAGATGATGTGTTTAAAGAGGAGGAACCGAAAGAAAGCGATTTTCGTCAAGTATGATGTTTTATAATTTAACCAGCAAGCAAATATCATTCCACACCTATACCACATAAGTAAGTTACTGTGACTAGTATACAGTTATCCATATTATTATTACTTACGGACTGAATCAGCGGGATTATATCCCCAAATTTGATTGCGAACAAATGAGGAATGGATCTTAGAATACGACATTTAATTTAAATATTTACGCATAAAATAGGTCTTTAAAACATTTTAATTTCAATTTATAAATATATCTAGACAACAGCTAATGTCATTATAAAAAGTAAACGACAATTGTCAATTTTTGTAAAGAGAATAAATTATTTATAAAAAAATAATTAGGTTATCGTCCAATGGTTATACAAATACATTAGGTACTTATCCCGGACGGGAATTGGACTCATTATCTAAAAACCTCATTAATAAAAAACTTAATGTCGACGTTAAAAAAGCTTTAATAAATGATGAATTATTAAGCGTAAATAACAAAAGAAAAATTGCAGAATCGTAATACAGAACTTGAAATGATAAAAAATAAACCACGTACATAGGTAACGCATGTAAAATGCTTATGATGGTTTTAAACACAAACGATAGATGAGAATTAAGTATTCGGGCAGCGTGGAAAGAAAACTAATATTTGTTGAATTCATACATATTTAACACGCTTTTATTTGTAGTTATAAATCAAACATGCCATCTATAATATTTAAAAATTAATCCCATGAAAGAATTTTTTTTCATATAAATGACAGGCGTCTCTTCAAACTAAAGAATGGTAAGAGCATACCATTGTGATCACTTGATAACATAGATTTACGGCCAGTATCAATATTCTATCTATCTGTAGATTTGATTACAGGAGATAGGAGTATTGAAGTATGTATTATGGAGGTAATGTCTAATACCTATCTCTAGTAGGTAACCAAAAATACAGATCGGCAGAATATTGGAACCGGCCGTTCGCAATTAATATGTACTTACATACAAAATATAATCCGTATTGTCAAAGGAGAGGTAAAGGATTGGTAAAGAAATTTGTTTTGTAATTATATCGTTCACTTAAACCTATATTATGTTAACTATACTTCATATTTGTCCAAAAAGGACTATGCAGTCGGTATAAAAATCGGCAATATCCAGACTAATTTTAACAAAAAATGTCGTGCTACAAGATTTTTATCAAGTAAACTTTTTTTTTATTGTGTTTTCCATGTAGAAGTAATTTCTAATCCTAATGTAAAAACTCTAGTCGCAGTGTCTAGAATCAAAATATCTGACCTTTCTTAATATATTTTCGCGAGTCCTCGTTATCCATAAAGTATGGGCTAATGGAGTGCGATGGCGGTGACAGTTTCGGCTCGTCCATGGGCAAGTCCCGTAATATTCCCGCGCATTCCGGTCTAACGGCCACTAGTGGCAGTTTGAACTCCGCCGTGGCAGACTACATGCAGACAAAATAACAATTTTGATACCAAAAAATCGAATTACTTCATTTCATTCGTAAAGCATATATTCCTTCCTCGTAACGCTTATAGCCCTTTTTAATAATAACTTGATTATGATTTTTAAATTAACTTCTACTCCATATTTTTAAATGTCTGTTCAAATGCTTTACTGTCTACATACGTACAGATTAACAAGGATGTCAACAATAGAGAAGTCGATATGTTTAATATCTTTCGTACTACAAAATGGCTATTATTAGAGTAGTAACTTTATTTTCATTAGTCGCCGATTTTTGTGAGGCAAGGCATTATTAGGTCATTGAAACATACTTTGAATACCTAATATAATATCATATCTTACATAATTATTTTGAACAAAAGCGCTTAAAAACTATAAAATTCTTTCGATGTTCGTCTTCGGATGGTTATGACAATCAACTATAATTCTACTTCCTTCAACTCGCTTGCACTCTATTTCCTTTTGCTTGTTTAATAAAAAGGACTTACAAATCTGTCAGCCAAGTCCCAGGGTTGTCCTTTGCCGGCTTGCAAGTCCACTACCCTCTCCAATTGGTTCCTAGCCGCTCTTTGGTGCAGCTGCGCTCTTTCGTACTCCGATAGGGCTTCCGTGGCCGCCACCGTATAACGCTGACCGAAATGCCCATTCAACCGCGGCAAGAAACCTATCGGAGAAGCGGATTTGCGACATTCCTCTCCGAGATATGCGCTTCACGTCTAAAGCGTAACACCACCAATGTCTTGGTGTTGTAATTTATGATATATATAAAAAACGAAACAGACTGTTACGGTAAGAAGCTAACATTCGACATACATTTTACGATTCTGGACAAAAGAAATACTTCGTGTTGAAATTGGTTTTGCACATAATATAAAAGATTAAAAAGAGACATTTGCAAATCTGTTAATGTTCAAAGATACTATAAGCATATATATTAATTCTAATTACAATTTGGTTACCGAGTTCAAAATTCTAAGTCATTTGAAGGCCGGGCCTGACGACTATGAAGAGATAAAAACTACAAGTACTATCTATAATATTTATACAATTTTTTGACATATGCATAATAATAGGAAGCAGTCACGTGTGTGTGCACATTTCCACTTTACACCGTATTTGTTTATTGTATTAGACAGACGGATAATCTACTAGTAGAATCATGATAGCACTAGCTCTTTTTAGTGTTATACATAAATGTATGTACCTTTACAACGTAAACGTTTTAATTACAAGCTAACTAGTGTGTAACATAACCTTTTCACCAGATTATAAATGGCAAGAATGAGTAAAGACCTATGACCTATTCACTCTCACATTGTAATTGGAAATACATACTCACACACAATTCGTGTCTTTTGATATACGTGCACGGTGGGGAATGTCAAAAACAATATAATAAATATTGTTAACAATATAATAAATAGGTTAAAAAACGTAAAAAGTAGAAAATAACTTTGAAATCGAAATAGTTATATAGAGAGTCCACCAACTGATGATAAGAAACTTTGATAACTATAAAGTAAAAATGAAATAGGTCAAAAATATAATTTTACTTTAAAAAAGCGTTGGGGATGCTCGACTTGAAACATATGAATTGTGTGTAATCAATGGTGACCACCAGGATACTGACGGCAAGGATATCAGGATAAAACTGAATTTTTGCATTCTCATCGGAGCTGAACACGTCTGCAAATTTACAAACAAATCGAATAGCTAGAAGTGGGCAATAGATTCGTTGAAACATTTTCTTACATTGATAGATTATCGATACATACAAGTGAAGCTAATAAAAGCGTGTTAAAAATGATGGAGGCTTGGTCCTTGCTGCTCTTGTCAACCGAAGGTAAAAAGTGACAAACATCTGTAAAAAAATAAACTTGATATTTGTTTTTTTATAATAATGTTAACGATTTAACTCCGTAAAATACATAAGATTTATCTAGCACAGGCTCTTAAGGAATCATACGACCGATTTTATGATTTTTTTTTTCTTAATGGTATTTTTATGGATATTTGCTATAAGCGATAGTTACGTCACTGCTCACGTAAAATTATAAATAAATTATATGAATGAAATTATTATTATTCTTTCATACGCAAGACATCTTGGACAATTTTAACTCATCGTTATACGCACGGAAGTGATAATGAATAACAAATTTTACTATCCGGAAACCATTAACGGTTACTGTTAGTCAGTCGATAAACATTACTTACGGCGGCCGTTAGAGGCCGCTACGCAAGGAATAAAACGTGCCTTACCGTTTTCGTTACGACTTTTATCACGAAATCGTTACGCAAACGCACTCTCGAAACTGCTCGAAACTTACCGAAAAAATGTATCTTTTTTTAAATTCCATCGACATCTGGCAGTAAGAGCACTTGACGGTGAGTGGTTACTGTAGCCCAAATAGATAAAGGGATCTTCTCTGGGACATCTTGATACAATAACAAGTCAAAACTCACGTGTAATGTAGAAATAGGAGTCGAAAAACAAAATTTTTAACGACTATGGAAATCAAAGCTGTGGCTTTATGATTAGGGGGCAGAGTGAGGCATGACTCGAAGACTCGACGGCAGTGACTTTAATTCACGGATAATCTTCATTGCATAGAGCTTAAACAGCAGAGAAGTTGCTCTGCAAGTGTAGAGGAAGACAAGATGGACACAGAAATCCACAAAGTAATATACTTTTCGAATAACATTGACTTGACCGGTCAATATGTAATACTTGTCTGATTAAACATGATCGCTTAATCGCTAATCTTGTCATTAATCTGAATAAGATGTTTAATAGTAATATACCATCGCCACTTATAATATCAAGTGGAATAGTGCTCATATTTTTTTTTAAATAAAATCCACCTCACCACTATAGCAATTATAACCGTATATACGTAGTTATTCTGAATGTTAACAAAGAACATATTACGCTTTATTGCGTTTTGTCAAACCAAAAACCAAAATTATCATGTAAGCGTAGAAACGTGTACATGATTATTTTTGCTAATAATAACTTTAATAAATAGTGGCTAGAAGTTTTAATAGATATTAGGTCAATCAAAATCTATCGGAATTCCAAACCGGAGGTGTCTTGTCTTAGTTCCTCCTACTGGTTATTGACCTCGGTTATACAATTGATTATACCAGTTTTCAATGCTCGCGGGTCGCTGCAAGTGTTCTAGATAAGGTGCAATTGCTGTTATCTAAACTACACACACACGAGTGGTTGCCTTGTGCAATATATAGAATGCGACTGTGCAAACTGAGATGAAGAAACGATAAGAGTTGTATGGTGTTATGTTTTCATTAATCGAAACATCCACCGAAGATTCTATGATTAATTTGATGTTGTGTGAGCGCGTGACTAAGTGATGATATCGGACGTTCATTCGATTTTCTTCTGAGACATATTTTTCTATATAAGGATCAACTTAAAACTTTAACGTGCCTTTCTTACGAAAAGTTTTACAATGCGATAAAAGGCTACAGTCTAAAAGGTGGATACCAGCTAACCCACACACTTGAAGAAGTATAACCACTAGTGCTGCTTGTCGTTACAATAGTTGTTAATATTAAAGTTCAGTAATAGTTAAAATATTAGTATCAAGGTAAAATCGTTAGAACTCTTATATCAGAAGTAGGATACAATACGAAAACTCGCGTTTGGCTATTCAGACAATCGGCGACATATTTTCTCCTTGGGTACCTACCCTCCGAAAATAAAACAGTGTGTTTTATAGTTAATATACGTAATGGTGATTAAATCTTTTAGTTAAATGTAACGAAAGTTTGTATAAAAATCTAATGTGTGAAAGTGAGTACCTTCCAGTTAATTAATTACTTAAACATATTTGAGAAAATGTAAAATAGCGATACACCCGCGGTTTACCCGGTTAAGCTACCGAGCATTTAGTAGTTGGAAAATTTAAGGCTTGAACGTGGCGATATGCATCCCAGTTGAGGGATAAGCCACAGGGTAAGGTGTTCTGAACGTGGGCGATATGCATCCCAGTTGTGAGGGATAAGCCACAGGATAAGTGTTTTGAACGTGGCGATATGCATCCCAGTTGAGGGATAAGCCACAGTGTAAGGTGTTCTGAGAGGCAAAATCGTTAGAACTCTTATAGAAGAAAGTAATTTTATTTCTCCCTGACGTCGGTGAAATTAAATTCGAAGTCATGGTTCTACCCAAGGCAATACATTATGCTCCAATAGAAGCGAGCCTTGCTAACCTGCCTGTGTATATACATATACCTCAGTAGTTTTAGAACTTAAAATATACCTCGAATGGAACTGGTTATTTTTATTCACCTTTCTACATCCGATTATGGCAGATGATGATCGTGAGAGCTAAATTTAATTTTCAAATTGAAAACATGCGGCGGAAACGCCGAACGGTTTTAAAAAATTAAATTAGCGTGACATACAGGAAACTGTGAAATTCTTTATACCGTAGCATGTACGCTACTTTGGTATTATCTTGGACTAATGTTTTAAAATCGACTCATGATATTTCTAGGCAAAATGCACATCATGTGTGACAAAAGCTCTGGGCATTTGTTAACCATAAACAGAAATAAAAAATAAATGATTCCGATATCACATAAATAGGTCTCAAACTATAAACATGTAATCTTTTTCGCATAAAACTTATTGCAATATTGTTTTTCACTGTAGATTTAATTAGCCCTCGAAATCAGGATGGCGAAAAATCGCTATTCTTTTTTTTCAAATAGCGACTTTTCGCTTCTTTTTTTTATAGCTCTTTTACAAATATACGCTCAAAAAAATGTCAGCAGAACTGTACATTGTTCGTCCCTAAAGTTGACTGGAGATAATGCCATTGGCATCAAGTCCACCTTCGTCTGTGCATAAAGTTTAGATAAATAAATTTAAGCTTATTTCAAAATGATATAAAAAAAATCATAATGTCTTAATAGTCATATCATTTAAGTAGTCAATATCAGACTTAGAAAACTTATTTCTCATACTTCTTTTTCGTATACGAAGAACACTTCACCGCATTTCAGCAATCTGCGGCTAACTTGGGTCAAAGCATAGGAAGGCAAGCATGTTCTGACACCCTAAATGTCTCGGACACCTTTTAAGGCTGAAAACTGATCCGTCCCGCAATAGGTCCCACGTATGGTGGCCGTACATAAACCGGTACTCAATTCTGACTCACATTAAGCTGAGACTGAATCATTGGAGTTGCCGCATTGTTTGTAGATTTACCTCCAATTATCTATATACTATAACATAGGTACAACTGGCCGACTGATTTGTCATTCTGCTTCTCATATCTGCTGAAAATTTGAGAAATATACCTTGTGGGAATAATGAATTCGAAGCTGGAAGTTGGAGGTTGCATACGAGCTGTGTACCTAGTTATCATGAAACTTATTTTTTTGTTTAAATAAAAAAAGGAAATGAACTAAAACCATGCAGGCATTACTACTACCAAGTTTTCAAGGTGCCTCTTGTTATTTTTCTTCGCTCACATTCAAACGAGAATAAACATTCATTTCATCATTTTCTCTCATAATCATTCATCATCATCATCATCATTTTAGCCTTTTCGATACTATCCGTGATCCTTTTTGATATTTAAAGAACACTGCGTCTCTCACAACTTCTCATTCGTGATTTTAGGCTGTTTTAAATTAAGCGTAGACATGAAAGCAGGCGGTTCACCTGATTGATTGATGAGATGCTTGAAGATTAACAGGTTGGTTGCCAACCTCTCAAAACAGTGGGCCTGGGCCACCTCACTCTCACCAGGTTGAACACAAGATATGTAGTTACTACCTCACGTCTTCTGTGAGGCCCCGCACGAGCTTACCCATCCTGATGACAGTACAAAGGTCTTGGGAAACACAGAAACTTGCACCCCTACGGGTTTGATGTCCTACGAAGCTTTATATAATAGCTCTGTCTAAAAACAAAGCACAGACATAAACCAACAAGGACCAAGACGAACATCGTGCGTTAGACTTACATACGGAACAAAGATACCGTATGATCTGCAGACAATTGAACCGGATCGAAGACTGTTGTCCCATTTTTATTTATTCTATTTTTATTATTATTTTATCTAAGTTTCTCTTTTTGATTTGCAACTGCAATTTGTTTACTTGAACGTACTTAATTTCATGACCTCGTTTCCAATTAAACCGCAACACGTAGTAAATTGGATTAAAGTGCAGCACAAGTAATAAGATTGCCGAGTTAATCTTGTTATCTCACGTTGGGAACCCTGTCAGATCAGGGGGAAGACCCAAGTTAAAATTACGTAACCGTGATAGTGCCACGTAACAGTCTTCACTGTTGCACGAATAGGCAAGATCGTCCGGGGAAGTACCACGACCTCACAAAAGACCGGCGTGAAGTGGAATCAGTTCTACTTCTGCATTTCGTTTGGTGAGTGAGTTAGCCGGGGCCCACTTTATTAAAGGTGGCAACGTGTCTGCAACCCTACGAGTGTTACAAATAGGTGAACTTCCAGCACACAGCAACATAAAAAAACTTATGATGAAAAAAACCACGGCACATCTTAAAATAAGTTCAAAATTCAAATTAAACAGATCATCGATTTTGGCACAATTTTTGGGCATAATGGGAATTAATTGAGAGAACTCATAATATACCTACGGCTTAATAAATCTGCATTTTCGAATTTCTATATCGCCAGAAAACATATCATTAAAAAAACTTATAATGCTAATTATTCCAATTACAACGGTAACAGTTACATAATAACGATATGAATGTGAAATTCCGTTATTGCTGGTGTAATTAATATTATTCAACAATCAGTCAATTAAGGTTTACTGCTAATTAATTAATTCATAGTGTTTAGGGTTCATCAACTATTATAGAAGTTAAACAAAGGCTAGATTGGCGTAAGAAAGAGTAAACAGTGTAACCGATAGATGAGTCATAAATTATTAATTACTACGACATAAATAGCAACCCGTCCCGGCTTCGCTCGAATATTAAGCAGCGGGTATCCAGCAGCCCTCATTTTATTTTCGAGATCGCGTCCAGATGGACAGACAGACAGATAATGGAGCGGGACTTGGTTTATGTGATTCTATAACAGCAAATATCAATGTAATGCCACATCAATTAAAGTAGTCATCAATAGCCTTTGGGCGTTGAGTGCTTGGTTCTCTACGGATAACAACAATTTGTGGATCCACAAATAGTTGCTGCGAGCCTGGCTGTACTTTGTTTCCACGATTTAATTTTTTTAAACATTCCCCTGGACAGATGTATCGTATATAAAAAACGTTGATATCATTTAATGAGGTGATCGAGAAGGCAGATCATGGCAATAGCAGGGATTAATGCCAGGTAGAAGAAGAAGAAGAGGACAGGAATACCATTTTGGTCCCTAATGTGATAAGCATAATAAAAGAACATGAGCACCTCCTGGCAGATTATGACCTCCATACAAAGTATTGACGGTTCTTGTAAGTCCTATTTGTTTGTGACGTCATCCGATGAACCTTTGCACGTGTTCGAGCAATAAAAGGGGTTCCGCGAAAAAAATAGTCATATACTAATCATAATTTAAAGCTAATACAGATATATATTTCTAATGGGGAGGCGGTTCACCTGATGTTAAGTGAATGCCGCCGCCCCTTGGACATTTGCTACACCCGAGGGTTACAGATGCGTTGACAACCTTTTGAAAATTGGGCTCTGGCTACCTCACGCACCAGACGAAACGCGAAAGTATTTGTCATACTTCCATTTGACGCCTGTCTTCTGTGAGGTCGTGGTACTTACCCGGACGAGCCTGCCCATTCGTGCAACAGCCGAGGCTGCTGCGTGGCCCTACCACAGTGTTCATGGCATACCTTCGTATCCCGGTATCATCGGATGCTTGTACACCGGGTCGCCGTTGCGAAACCTCGCGTTCACGACGTCGATGTCCGTTTGTGGCGGACGGAAGATCTGGCGGTGTTATTCAATAAGTAATTTCGATGCGGCGAAAGGCGGATCGGCGGACAGGCGGACGTACGCGGAATGTCATTCGGCCGAGTGTCGGATTTAACGAGTGATTTTATTGCAGCAGGGGAGTTCGAACTTTAAAGCGGGCCGTATTTATGACTGAGTGGATTAAGTACTAGTGCGTGACTGTGCGGTTTGTTTTAAAATAACTGGATAGCACGCTTGTTCGCGCTATATTAATCCAGCAATTGTAAAGTTCAAACATACACCAACTTGTTTATGATCTAATCCGTGTTCAGGATAGCTCATTAATCGAATTTCTGAATGTAAATTAATCAACTACATTAAATTAATACATCGACTACATCAAATACACCATATACACATCACATTTTAAACGATAGACAGATAGACCTTAAAATTTAAGGGAGTGTTGAGAGAGATAGGTCTGATGACCGCATTTGCCAAGGTATTGGCTTCGGCGCTGGGGGTCGTTGGTTCGATCCCCATACAATTATACAGAAATACACAAATGATTGTTCCGGATCTGGATGTTTGTCCAGTACAGTAAAGGTAATGCTTAAAAAAGTATTTCATTTGTGTACAGGCACACATACAAAGTCCCAGGTAGAGCTTATGGCACTAAATTATGTTAATAGATATATCTTATATTATCCGAAGTTACGCTTTCAGACTACACATCTTCAGCTTTAGGTTTCTTAAAGATTCATCCCATGCAGAAGCCTTGAAAAAGCTAATTTCCACAAGTTGAACCATATCAACTTGCCTGACTCTATTAGAGAGTTAGAGTCAGGCATTTTGTGCGTCAATGCGTTGGTTATGTGATGGGGTTATCGGCTACGAGCTATGGAGCCGACTATTCTCAACATTTTCTGCGCGATAAAATTCGTTAAGAAGACATCCGCAGTAGAATAAAATTGGCCGACATAGCTCAGAAGATTAGTAAGCTGAAGTTGCGATGGGCGGGCCATATAGCTCGTAGAACCGATAACCGACGGGTAAGAAAGCTTCTCGAGTGGCAGCCTTGTACAGGCCATCGCAATATAGGACCACCCCCACAGTTTGGAGTGACAACCTGTGCAAATGTGCGGGAAGTCGATGAATGCAGATAGCTCAGGATCGTACTTCGTGGTAGTCTGTATGGGGAGGCCCATATTCAGCAGTGGACTCTAACGCTGAAATAATGGGTGGTGAAAGTACCGCCCCGGAACGCTGGTGGTCAGACAACACGTACCTGGTAGTCATCGGCCGTTCTGTCCGATAGGACGAGCCTCTCCGAATGCTGGACGCTTGGGTCGAGGAGTATCTTGTGCGTTGTGGAGCCATAGGTGTCACCTATCCTGTATTTGTACTCGGGACAGTGCCCTGTGTAGCTGTTGAAAAACAATATGCATTAAGTTACGAACTTTATGAATCCCCTATGTTGGCATAGGGAGTTCATTATATGAATGTTCAGATGGGGGTACTAGGTAACTCAAACATACTTTTGTTTGTTAATAAATTCATAAGTAGAATAAAAATATATAAACGCCCAGACACATTCTTCCATAAATAACAGTAGGGATCGAACCTACACCCGCTGCTGCAAGAGACAGGTTATCAATTGGTCTTTTAATCTTCTCGGAAAATATTGTTTACTTTTCTTTTATAAAGCAAACAACATGTAGTAAACAACATGTTATACTTCGTGTAGTGAAACGTATAAAAACACCCTCGAACATAGGTAAACAATCAGATAAAGAAAAGTTATCATGTGAGGTTTCGAGTGGTTACTTTGTCTATTTTAATGAAGCTATAGGAAAAAAACATCAATAGAACCGGGTGTAACTTTTATAAATGTATCATTGTCACAGATTTGTTTCCCAACGCGCCTTTAATAAAACTTTAATGGACACATGGCATCAGTAAATATTACAGCAACTCGGCCACGAGCTCGCCTGACAGCGTGAGTTATGGTGGCTTTAAAATGTAAGCCGCGGTTGCGTAAACCATTTAATTTTTTTTATTAAACAACAATCGTTTCTCGTGCCGTGGCATATTTAAATGACATTCGTTTTGGGTCGAGTTGCCAGAATTCTTTGTATGATAAATGCCATTCATTCACAGTACAATACCTTACACCGTCTGTAGGTATTATGGATGCTTGCGTTTACGCGCCTGCTTTTCTATTTGGTAGAAGTATACGATATCGACTTACTCCGTTGTATAGCAGAGTACCCATACTTTATTTGGTTTATCTTATAAAAAGTAATTTTACTTTTTATTGTAAAACTCAAATTACTTACCCTGGGATATAATGCGGCTGTGCAATGCTTACCAAGTCCAATGCCATAGTACTAATAAAGTTTTAGGATTGAGGTCTTAAATACTCATGATTTTGTAACTTATTTGTTTTAGTTTAATCGTTTAATCCAAATATACAACATGAATTTGGTAATGTTATTAGAGCATTTCAAGCTTTGATATTTGACTGAATATTAAAATCTAGTTTGTTACCATCTTAGATTATTTCTAATCATTATTTAATGTCATCTATGAGTACATTTATACAATTTGCAGTAACAGAATGACATTAAGATTATACATAGCGATACATGACGGAGTTCCTGCCAGTATTCATTATAAAAAAGTTTATAATTGAATTTTAATAATTTTTATAACGAATACATTAATACTTTTAATACGTCTTAATATTTTATTAAAACTTTAAAAAATCGTTTCGTAAAAACTAAAAAAAATACGAATTATAATAATGACATTTATAGAAGTTCCAATTTCATAATATTAGTACTTTCTAGGCATTTATGCTTCGAGAGGTGTTAGTCACTCACATTGAATGGCCGATCGGTCATTCGTTCCTGCAATGCTTCATTCATTCGCTCAAATGTAACCGCCATATTGGTTTCAATATTTGTTGTGAGTGGTTGTGTATCTCGGTGGCGCTTAGTGTCAAGTGACAGTAAACGATAAAATGTTAACTTTCTGTAACTTTGTGTACTTTTATTTGTTATTATAAACTTTAAAAACGTGCTGTATTTAGTTTATAAACTTAAAAAGTTATTAATTGCGATGTAGGCTTAGGTTGAAAAGCAAGCATTCCAGAGAGACTGTTGAACTTAAATTTTTCGTCGTTTATTTTTTATTTTGTAGAAGTATTTACGCAATATGCTCAAGAAAAGGATTTTCAGTGGTATCCTGACAATTTATTAAGTAATAAATAAATAGTGGTTGTGTTTACGAAAAAGTTGTAGTTTCAAAGTTAGCACATAATCTAAAGCGGATTGCCGAAACATTCAAGGTGAGACAACCAAAATATTTTCTTCATAAAATTTATATGTTATAAAAACCTTTAAAGGACTAAAAATTATGGTTATTTACATTTAAAGTTATTTACATTTACCAAAATTATAAATACTCTTCTTAAATAAAACGTATTGAAATTTGTTTTAATTTAAAAAGTTAGCTCTGTAAATTATATAATTATCTATACCACTTACAAGCCCCTAGTAAGACATGCATTTCATTAAAATAAATATTTTTATTGTTTTGTTGTTAATGTTTATTTCTAACTAAAAGTACCTACTACATAGTTCCAAAAGTACATAAAAAGTTCTATTGTTGCTTCTGGGTCACCAATAGCCTAGAATATAATTGAATATTTAAATTATTTTATATCCAAGAAATTCATGTTTTATAATACCCCTTGCAATTAAACATAATATGAAGGAGAAAACACCATTACTTTTTGTCACATTTCTTTTGAAGTTATTTATATAACCTGCTCTATTTTATGACTGCTTTTATTTTTCTGATTGAAAAAATAATGTGTTTAAGTCTTATTATTATATAATTGATTGATTTTTTAAAAGGTTTTAATAATTATAGTTTTCCACTAAATTGTGCCGTAAACTATATTTTAAAAATAATAATGTTTTTCTAAAAATCTAAGTTGGGACTATTATATTTAACCATTATCTCTATCTGTTAACTCTGATAGAGAAATAATTGTTTAAACAATTTAGTAGGTAATAACAAATAGTTCTAAACAATAATGGTCATCAATCTTAACAAAGTTAATAAGTGTATGTAAGACATTGAAATAATGCCTACATACATTATAAACAAATTAAAGAATTGTTTTAATATCTAAAAACTACTTTTATTTATCACTACGTTATGCCCATTTTTGATAGCAGCTGTTTCTGTTGACGGTTTTTTAATGGTAACTTATTTGTTTCACTTTTTCACAGAATTCTTCATAGTTCTATAATATTTGTTATGCTGCATATATAAATCTCAATGAAAGCTGTTCAATAGGAGTACCTATAAATTTAAAGTGTTTTATAGTGCTAATCTCTGCACTTAAGATAAAACATTAAAACTTGTAGAAAAAGTGCGAAAAGATTGTCGCCGCTGTGGGAATCGAACCCACATAGCTTAGTGGCTAAAGCGTCAGGCCGCGAATGCCGAAGATGTGGGTTCGATTCCTACAGCGGCGACAATCTTTTCGCACTTTTTCTGCAAGTTTTAAGGAGTACCTATATTTAATAAAACAGAAAATTAGGTCCATAATTTAATAAAATAAATAGTACAAAATAAATGTCAAATGTAATTGCATGTTTATTTTTACTTTAAATAACTTCTTTAAAAATTAATAAGTTTCATAGTGTAATAATTATTTAATTAATAAAATTTAATAATATCACTTAAATTTATATTTCCTAAATAAATAAAATATTGACTAATCAAATATCAAGCATTAAAACAGTAAAACTATAATAAACCAATTTTTTGACTTTATTTTGAACAAAACATTTTTAATACAATTACTATTATCGAATTACAAATACTAGCTAGGGGTGAAGCAGACTATACTGAATAACATTGTATAATGATTTCTTCTATTTACGCGAACGGAACAGTAGTCCAGATTTGATCATTGTATCCTGCGACCACAGACAGATTCCGCGAAGCGCAAATTAAAATAAATATTATATTATAAGCGCAGATAAACACAAAAATCCATCTGGTGACAATCTTCGCTACAGTGTGGCGTCTGAACTTACCTACAATGAATAGGAACAAATAATTTCGTTTGACAATGTTAGTTACGTATTACTTAGCGGGCGAGGTTCAAAGTCAAAGTCAAAATTTCTTTATTCAACATAGGCTTATTTTAAGCTCTTGTTGAACGTCAAACACTACCACCGGTTCACTAAATGTTGCCGCCGTAACGCACAGAGCATCACGTCGTACGATAATACGGAGGGCGGCAAATCTGGCAACGCATAGAGCACCGTCCGCGCCGCGCGTTCGCGTCTCCGCGGCCGCCATAGTCGCGGGGGACCGGTTCCGGCGGGCGACGGCGGCCGCGCGTTTTCGAAAAAAGAAGCCCCCGCGGCCGCCGACATTCGAGGTCGCAACCCAATTGGGGGCCAGTCGCGCGGCGCACTTTCTCCGGTGCGTGACGCGCCCGCACTTTTCGGTGAACAGGTGCGGGCTTCGAACCCGGCGTCGCACCCGCCGAAGCTCGCAGCTTTCTACGCTCCGTCCGGAGCTTGGCACTGTACGCTCGGCCTGCGCTGCGCTATCGTATCGGGATGTGGGTCAATGACCTTGAATGATTACCGTCTCGCTCGTTAGGAACTGTACGCGTTGCACTCGGCCCGCTTCCAGCGTCCCCCTGTCAAGCTGAAAGCGGATTTTTGCACTTCAAACGCTTCAGATTAAACCGGGGCTGCATCCGTTTGCTCCATCTTTTTCCGTAATGCACACAACAAGGTTTCGAAACAATTTGTCAACGTCAGATTTCCCGTCCGATGATGATTTGTGTTCAAAGCAAGAGTGAATAGGTTGTCACTAAGCAGGTGCACTTATTAACTAAGGCTGCATCTCTACTTAGTTGGATGTTAGTTAAAAAAATTGTCCTTAGCTATGCAAAACGGTGCATGCGATGACATCGCCTGCAGCGTGCAACACGGAGGCATAACGCGCCTTGTCTGTGCTACGAGCACAGAACGAATGCACGACACTGCTCTGAAATAATAACTATCACGACGTCAATAACTAACAAAACTGCAACGATGATTGTCACCCATATGTTTACTTTGAATTCTTGTCCGGACTTTGAGCAACATGCGAACTTAAACGGAACTTATTTAAACATGCTAAACTATTTTGAATGTGTGGCAAGTTTTTATTTTATGAGAAGAGAAGAACGAGTAGATTGTGATGTGGCGATCCCTTGGCAGTATTTAACTAGTTTGGGTCCATGTTACCTCATTCACCAGTCGAAACGCAAATGTATAACACTTCGACCTCACGGCGGACTTTGTGAGGCTGTGGTCCGTGGATGTGCTCGCTTGTCCTTGCAACAGCAGAAGCTGGACGTCTTACAGTAAAAACTATTGCCAATAATGGAAGCTGAAATTACAACAATTTAGATCATTCGGCGTTAATAGCATTGACTTAAAATCCTTCAATCCAGTATGAGATGCAGTTGTGCCCAGTCCGGTTAGATTTTGTACATACAGTACATCGTATTAGACGGAAAAATTTTTGGTTCCAAAACAAAACTACTTGGCCATCTCCGTCCACAACTCTTCATTGATAAACACTAGAACTTATATATTTTAAACAAAAAATAATGTCCCCTAAACAGTTGATTCAAATGCCTAAGCTGTAAAGTAGGTTTGAGGGGCAAAACGCGCTGTGTCGCGACAGTCAACTCGAAAACGAGTAAATCGACTATCATTGACCTCTTATAATAGCTATCATAATGTAGTTTAATACCCAACGAAAAACGAATGGTTTACGTTCTAAGATTGACGTATCGAAAACAGTATAATAATACGCATGGAAACACAAAATAGCGCGAAATTGGGCACGTCTTCCATTAAAGGCGTTAAATATAGTCGTGCGGTGGTTTACAAGGCGTCGATCCTCGCTATTTCACAAAAACTAGTCGGAACAGAAGGATGATGGGTAATGGATTCCAAGAAATTGCAACTACGGCCAGTCTATGAGCGTCACTAATTGTCAAATTCTCGATATACGCGTAGCTAGGCGTTGTAAGTTTATAATAGTTGGTGTTGAGCGAGTGTTTCGGCGGTGATTTTAAGGGACTACTTTTCTTTTGCCGTAGTGGATGGAAATATGCACTAGCGATATTAGAACGAAGGTTCGAATCTTATATAAGTAGATTATTTAATATTGATACAAGATCTATTTGTTTATGCATAGCGGATAATGTCAGAAAACTGTTGAACCTGTTTTAAAAGTTATTTACTAAGGAAAAGCTCTTGAGTAACGTTATTTAAATTTTATTTAAATAAGATCAATTTTCGATAGTGTTCATATTTCTGGCGGTAAACAGGAATTATCAAAATGTCCATCATATTGATTTTCACCATACGATAAAAAATACAATTACCTACCGCGTGATGTTACGAATACTTTTAAATATTTTATATCAATACGAGTTCTGTCAGATTTGTTGGAAAGAATGGTTGCATCAGCTATCATCAATAATATACGGCAAGTCAAAAGAGATGAATTCCTCGGTCCAGCTAAGGGTGCTTCGATGATATTGGTAATGAATGGGACAAAACTAGCTATGTAGATTTTCTGCATACATGTTCAAACTACCTTTCTTGTCGTGTTCTGCTTATCAAGCATATAAAAGCTCCTTAAAACATCAATCGAAACATGTAAACATTTCCAGAGATTGGATTGGAAACGGTTCAAGAAAAAAAACATAAGGAATATCGCCGGTTATCTTCTGCACGCCACAAAAAAAGACAACAGTTGCAAACGGATATGACGTTCACAAAAGAAACTTCTAAACGTGTTCGATTTGTAAGCGAGTGCTATCAGAGATTCTTGTTATCTGCGCCCGGAATGTGTCCGAAAACGTGTGAAATTTCACAACACTTATCTGCTCCTACGATAATGGAAGGATTGGTCGAAATAATATTCTTCGAAACACCCTGTACATACATTTTAACTCTCATAATAGCGATTGTTCTAATTTGGAACGGAAATGCCTTATTCATTATTTATTGGAGTTGATTAAACCGCGTTGCAACGAGCACAAATAGTGTTGTCGTGTCTACATACACATTCAGAACTACACACATATCATTTATTACACATTTGATACATTTAAAGTTTTTGTAATTCTTTTTGGATGCAAATCTTTGTAACCGAAGCGTTGAGATGTTAAGAAAAGATGAATTGACTCCACAAATTATTTACAAAAGCTTATTTGCGCCGACGTGACAAGTGATGATGTAGGCGACGAAATTTGTCAAGACCATTACTAGATTAAACCGGTATTGCTTAAAAATGTGGTGGACAAATCTTATCCTTTAAACGAGCAATTCTTGTATATATATATATATATAACGGAATCTCGGAAACGGCTCCAGCGATTTTCATGAAATTTAGTATGTGCATAGATTCGGGGGCGAAAAATCGATCCAGCTAGGTTTCATTTTTAGAAAATGTCCTTTTATCCCTGTTTTCAGGGAATGAAAAATATAATTCGAATATGACGGTAAATTTCGCCGCAAGAGAAAATGTCATAATAGCTCGGTCGGTAATCGGGCGGCCCCAAAACAGACGGCCGTGGTTCGCGTCACGATCATTTACACATTTATTTTTTAACTTTTTTTTCGATTCCAGATCATTGCTTTCTTTATTTTTAATTTTTTGTCGATTTGTTATTTTGTTATTTTTTCCCCCTTTTTTTTAAGTTCTTTCTTTTGTGAAAAACATAAGTTCATATGTTCTTATTAATTACGTCGGTAAGATCGAAAAATATTATGCATATTTCATTACTCAGTAATTTGTATCTAAATGTAATTTCCAAAATACACGATTTACCAAAAAACTTGGTCCTCCGGGTACTTACAATTTTTGTTATATATTACTTATTTCAACCATAGGAGCGCGACGTTATGGGTGATTCTTTTTTATTGTTTACTGACTAGGTTTTTATTAAAAAAAAAACCGATATCAAATGTCTCACTCACTATACATTTTCTAGAGTTCAGAAGCCAATGCAAAGGGAATTTCGAATTTCTAAATCGGTTCTTAGAATCATCTAAGTTCATCAGGACTACTGGGGTAATAAAACCGAAAAGATAAAATACAACCGAATTGAGAACAACTTGCTTTTTTGAAATCATTTGGCAATCCAAATCCGTAGTGCGGTGGTAGGAGTTACTATAATTAATTAATTCTTTAGTAAATCACTATGAAGCTGGGATGACGATAGTCACGCGGTTAAGGAATGTTGATATTTCTATGGAGCAATTCCTTTGCCACACCACCCTACTGCTAGTGAAAGCTTTTTAGACATGGCTCAACATCCAATCCCGGACCTGCTGATTCTGACAGATTTATGCACGCTCATCGAGCGCTTGCCTCTTCATAGATGTTAAATCACCAGAAAGATTGATTTATGCGCGGGAGATAAGAAGAATGTTGACAAAAACGAAGCGCATGCCTTTCTTGGTGGCAGGTAGACGATGCAGGCACGGCGGTCTTGTCGCGTGGATTTACTGCGAATAAAGGGAAAGTAGCGACTCGAGTGGATGTCTGTTCTGCGCCTGCACTTAGTGACAGGCAGGGTATTATGTGCGCGCAAGGGGCAAGGTGGCTATGTGCGTTTGTCAGACGAAATGTACGGAAGTTCATTATTCTCTCGTACGAATATGATGGGTGTGTTGTACCAAGACTCGCTTTGTGTAGATGGCTTACTACAATGTTTAATATTGAAACACAAAGAGCGGAATGTTGTGCGAAAACTTTTCGGGAGAACACTTTGACATTAACATATGTTAAGCAAACATATTTACATATTATTGCGGGGCTAATGTTGGATACAATTTAATGTTTTTCTATATGACAAAAAATTTGTAATCAAAATTTTATTTGCATACCAGTTCACATGCACACATCCCGTTACTTTGCACTTAAATAAAAATTACTGCCGTATTTTGTACAAAGTACTGTTTTATATTAATTAGCACGCTGCAGTGAGAGCAGTCAACATTTATCTTGACGCAATGAACGCTTTCTCAACGCGTCGGTCATTAAAATTTAGACATTTCTGAACTTTTTGCCTTTTATATGTCAAACACTTTAGTTGTGGTGAACTTGTGGCACTTGATATCGAACGAAATTAAAGTCCGACGTAAACAATACTGACGTTACAAATATTAACCACGTGAATTACGTACGCTAATTTGCATAAGCACAAAAGCCTTCCGCTCTCTTATAAACAAACATGGTCCGTCGAAGTAGTTTTTTTTTTTTTGCGTAAGAAAATATTGTGAAGACATGTACGATAAATGACACTCAGTGCAAGGAGACTGGCGTCAGCACGATGCAACGTAAGTTATATTGCGTTTAAGTACAAAAAGCTTTCATATATTATAACACAAAAGTATTAGAATATATATATGTCACTGAATGACGGGCAAGAATTTAAGCAGGTAATTTTTGTATTTTTAAATAAGAAACAGCTTAACTCATTGGTGCCGATCACTGGGATTCAAAACCGACAACTCTGACTACGAATCTCAGTCTGGTCAACACCGCGTGCTCTACCCTAGCAACTTTAAAGCGTTCTT